GGGAAGGGCTCAATCTTCTGCATGGAGATAATTTGGAGTCATCAGCCCATTGTATCCATCCGAAGCATGCGCTCCTCGTCTATACACGTAGATGCGACTAGGGTGCCTGGCGTGGTTGGCCCATAGCCTCTGGCTTCGACAATCCTGTTTATGGCAGCAGGATCCTCACCTTTACGAAATCCAGCCAGATGCTCCGTCTTCATCTCTTCTCACTCATCAAACTTCATCAAAATAAGGCAAAGATATTATATATGGTGATGCGACGTGAGAATCGAAATGGCACCAAAATTATTCCCTGGACATGGAAGGAATAGGTCACCATTGCTTGTCCTGTCTAAGGAGGTGAAGGAGAAAGGCACGGCTTCCTCGCCACTTTTGAGGATCTCTTTCTCCACTTGACTTCTGACATTGGCACCAGCCCCGTGCGCACGAATACCCGTATATAGAGGCCCGTAACTAGGCAGCGTGTCTCACAACCCTTGGGGGCGGTTAATAACGCCATTTGAATAGGAAGTCCAAGGAAGGAAGGAAGGAAGGAAGGAAGGAGAAAAAGGAAGAAAAGAAATAAAGCAGGAGGTATACTCATCTACATACCAGCACGAAGCACCCGAGTTTTCCATACAATAGCGCGCTCTGTTTCGGATCATGAATATGCAAATTTTCGAGCCCGTCCAGACAATAGTCGATCTCCTATCTGCGTTCGATAACGCTATGAACGGGACGCACACCCTCAAGGCTGAAAGATCACCAGGAGGGCGGGAAGATGAACTTGAACGACATTCGTCGTTGCCATGCCATTGAGGAGACTTTGGGAGTGTTTGGAACAGGAGATCAGGGAAGATGACCTCAATCATGCTGAGGGAACAAAGGAAATCCCTCTTTTGACATTGACCAATGCACGTAGGTGATGGATCTTTGATGGCTCTATGATGGATATGGAGCTCATCTCATGCTTTTTTGGCACACGCCTCTTTCTCCCCTAATCTCCACTGGTAAGAAGCACCACCTATTTCCTATATCGCAATTTTTCGTCCTCGAACGTCAGGGGCTCGGCCTCGATCCACCTCCCACACATGACCTCTCTATCAACGTATTAACGGCCCTCGTCTTCACTTATCGAAAGTACATCGATTTCTCGCGGGAACTCCTACATGGGTTAATAGCTACATGGATGATAGAGCATTTTCAGGGGAAATTTCTTCATCGGGAATATGCATATAAAAGAGATCCAGAGCATAGAAGAGCCCGTTGATTACGTTGGAATAGTCGCTCGATCGAGGTGGAAGATAAGAATTCCTAAGATAAGCACATAAGGGCACGAAGCAGGAGACGCTCGTTGCTCGGGTTTCTCGGGCACACATTCATCAAGGTTCGGACAGGCCATCAGTGATTAGGTGCATCGTTCATCTTTCAATGGAGAATCCAAGCAGGAGGGGAGCAAAATTTCCCATAAATGAACCTCATTGAATCCCGAATATTTCTGCTTTATTGATTCCACTCTTCACGCAAGGGATCAATCACACTCCCCTCCCCTCCCCTTCCTCACTTTTGACCTCATTTAGTACCCCTAAGGCTTTTCTTCTTTTTTTTTTCTAAGGGGGCTTCCTGCTTATTCATTCACCTGGATTCAGTGTAATGAACCCCGGCAACACAATCTTCTTTAAACAAAAGATGCGTCTCCCTCCCTGCTCTCTTCCACAGATGAATCCACAGATGACGAGCAGATCAAATCTCATCCTTATGGTCTTTCTTTCACATTACACAGCATAATTACTACCAGATGAAATCCGTTTGTGATAATAATACAAAGTCTGCATCGCTCTAGGAACGAATCATGAGGGGGAAGTAGTGGCAGATCCTGTAATGGGAAAAGGACTGAGCAGTCGGTCAAGGTAAACTGGTAAGGCGTGGCAAGAGTCCCAAGGGGCCAAAATCCAACTATGCGATCCACAATGCCTCTTAGAATTGCTGCGGAAGCGGATCTGGTTTTTTTTTTCCGTCTAAGGTGGAGCATCCATTCGAAAATATCAGGGAGGGAAAAAAATAACATTCTTTGACGCCTTCCCATGGGATACCATTAATCAAGCTTGGAAGCTCTTTGGATGCCATAAACTAGGCAATAGCGTGGTGGTAAGGGCTCAGGGCTCGCTGTACGTATAGCAATATCTGGACGGAAACGAATATTGCGATATATTGTATACGGACAACTTTAGCGTCACCGGTACCGTTTACATAGATAGCAGCATAGAGGCTTAACGCGAGCGAGTTTAGAAGCCAGGATATCACGTTTAGGCTATGTTGGTGTTAACGCAAGAAGTGCAGGTGCAGTACTATGAGGGGAAAAGAAATTGACCATAGCAGTGAAAATGACTCGGTATACATTGTAGGCGCCTTCTTGGCAACGAGACTATGTCTTGGGAATTCGATCTATAATGACGCAGCTTCGCCATGAGCTAGAAACTGGAGATGGGGGCTACTGTTAGTGTTATCAATCCCGCAGCAATATCCAAGACTCTTCATTACGTCATCTTTCATGATCAATAACAGACGACAGGAAAACTGCATGAGATACGATGGAAGGATTACCATGCTCCCGATTGATATGCGAGTCTACTCCCTTCGGCCGAGAGGAGATACGTAATAACTGTCATGTCACGAACTCGATACCATCGACATAACGACAACGACTTGAAATCTGGAATCATCGAGAGTGAGACCTCAAGATACGAGTTTTTACAGTACTCAGCGAGTGCGCGAGCCAAACGAAGCTAGCATTATAACGATAACAAAATCGTGGAGATAAATAAAAACCCATCCTTTACTTTTTCCTTAAGATTCGTCCCGCGTACTTCCGGTCCAGCGTGATGAGGACAAGCCCCCACACGTTACTGGGAAAAATAGAGCTGAATGCACCATGTGAGAATGGACTTGTAGATCTATGAATGCAAAGAAACGATGATATCCAGTGTGATGGGAAAAAAAACCGCTAAAAGGAGACGTGTACGAGCACGAATAATTTCGAGGTCACGCTCAAATAAGAACGAAAGCATACCACAGATAAAAATTTTCCACTTAACAGAACTTTTCTTCTCATTCCTCTGACGAGAACAATACCTCATAGAAAGGAAATCAAAAACGAAAGCCTTTCCTATTGTGTATTCATATTCCGATCGTAGGACACATATATCAGCAGCTGAAAAGTCACTCTTCCCAGAATTGCAGTGTGAGTTCTATGTATGTGATGGAAGAATGCATTTCCGACTTTGAAAATCTTCTGAGAAATGAAAGGGGAAAACTTCGCATAAAGAAATGCACCCCGAATCGAAATATCACAAGCCAGATGATGTAGTCAGACAAACAACGTAGTCCCAAGGAACCGATTTCTATGTTCTCGTAACTTCGATAAGAACTCCTTCCACTTTGATCATTTCCATCATACATGGCTCAATATTGACGAATCTCTGGTTTCACTAAATCGCGCGTAACACCTTTAGAATATGCAAATTTTGCAGTCCTTCAACAGTTCTGCATTTTATGCTACAATTTATTGAGAGTTCCAGGCTGAGCCATGCTTGAATGGAGTGGAATTGCAGTGGAAAACTTGAACTTACTCCATACAGAAGGGTTCGAACGTTACTCCATACGGAGGGGTTCGAACGCGTATCCACGGGTAGAGCTAGTAGTGAGTTAGCCTCAGAAGGGGCATTGACTTAAACATTCTTCACAGCGCATGACAGACTACACAAGAAATAAAAACATGGCATATGGCGAAAGATGAGGAGAGAGAAGGCACAGATAGTAGGGCCTTGGCCATACATTTTTCCCTTCATCTCTGATCGTCTTCTCTGGTTCAAAATATATTGATAGTAATTAATAGAATCCTCTTGGCCACGAATACGAGTCAATCATGCTAGGAAGAAAATTAGTACGTTGCTTTACAGTCCAATCAATTTCGGTTACTTGCTATGGGGACGTCCAAAGTATTGTTCAATGGATGGTGTTCCGCTTCTTCCAAGAAAGAGGTTCATACATCACTGGGTCATTCCAGCTACAAGTGGACATGATCGCGAAATCCATATTCCATCTGATTTCGACGAACTCATTCTCATCGAACGCTGAAATTTGAAGGAGAACTCAAGTCCCAGTGGGTGTTTATCAACAATAATTGCATGTCTTCCCAGAAAGAGGACGAAGACCTTTCCTGGCACAAAAATTGATTCCTGGCCAATTAGGGGGCGGGATGACGAATCGATGGCCTGGAAATCGATTAATGAACGCATACGCCCCTCTTATAAATCAATGGCTCGGAATTATGTGAAATTCAAGGCAATAGAAAAACTAAGTTTCGAATAGTCAAATGACTGCTGTATGATGCTTCATCTTAACTTCATTCCTCTCTGAGGTTTTGTTTCATAATGTGAACAACAACTTTCACTTCTTGCGCATGAGAATAAGTACAAATTTTCACGTTTTCCTTCAGCAGTAACGTTTGTTACTTAGGAAAGGCCCCACTGTACTTTTCAGGTTCGGCTCGTACTTCCCCAATTCGCTGGAAACTCATTATTTATACGACTATAAGGGTAACCCTTTTACAGTCTCTGCCCATGAGTGATATGAGTAATGCGAGGGGACTGCAGTAAGCATCTCTTCTCCCATCACTGACCTGCTTTAGGCGACTTTCATGACCCAAATTTCATGTGCATGGGTGACTGAGGCCCAACCGAGATTGGAAGAAGGAGTGTTTCGGAACGTGGGTGACAGTGACTGTGACCTACGAAGTGAGAGGAGATACGTTCTCCCTCTCCCCGTGTCTGACCAAAACCTTCCCTGGCCCATACATGATAGGCGGAAGAGACAAGGAGAAAAATGGCGAGCCTGGGACGTCCTACGAAGAAGTCATTCCCTCCTCCCGTGATTCGATGGGACCCATTCCTCACTTGGGAGATCCATCCGTTCTCTGTCTCGGACCTCTCCAGGTTGAATGAAGGAAATAAACTCACCCGTTGGCGCATGGCGAAGTTTCTCCTTGCTGCTGGAGCGGATTTCTTCCATCATCATGTCATGAAGGCAGGACTCCTTCTTTTTCGGCTTTTGAGGCCTGTCCTGAGCCTGCAAGATAACGGGATACAATCCGCCTTAGACGATGAATCATGCCGTTGATTTTACACAAGGTTCACAGACCAGATGAAAGCCTAGATTCTGAAGTAATCACAAATGCAGGTTTTTCCATCAGAATATATGCATACATTTTTTTTAGCTTCCATTCTAACCTCTCCTTTCAACTAACCTTGAATTCGCATATCTAAGGGCCTATTTATCATACGCCTGCTTCAGACCCAGGGTTGTTGAACTTTGGAACTATGAGGCAAATCGCTTATGCAAGTATAATTTAAAAACAGGCCATATTAATTTGAACTATTAAAGGCAAGATCACCTCTTTAAATTGAATTCTTAAAAATAGTCTTTATTTCTCGTTGCACACTTATTGTAATAGGATGTATTTTCTTCACGTGTTCTCCATTGGTATTACCAGTGGTCGCATAAAATACACATGCATAAAGTTAGGTGTGGAACGTACCGACTGTTCAACTTTACTTCTTAAAACAGTTGTCTTTCCAAAAAATTATTTGATGAAAGACTCTATCTTTCATGACTTTCTCGGAAAATCAACCCGACAAGTGAGTAACAATTCACAGATTCATTATTAGAGAGTACCATTAACACTGATTGAGTGATTATGCTGGTAGGAGCATTTAAAATCGCCGATCTGAGGTTCTTCTCGTACATTTATATGGATTCGATACCCTAGAAGGTATTATGGAAAAGCAAAATGGCCGGGTCTAGCACTGGAATCTAAAAATGAAAGTAGCAACATAATGTTGATATTTCCTTGATTTCCTCGGCTTTTCTTTCAATTGTCTTTCGCTACAAAGGCAATAAAGCAAATATTTTGGAGGAAATAGTATCAGACTATTCTATCTTCACATTTTATGAGCAATTCATTAGAAAGTGGTTTTGCTGTAAAATCCACGTACGTGAAATCGATAGAAAATGAAGAAAGGCGGTGCGTGCCAGCGAGTTTGACTTTTTTTTGCACATAACGCATGATAACCTGAGGTTAGAGATACCTTCAAATGCAATGAAATGGCTAAAAGCAGCAAACGTAAAGTATAAACGTAATTAAACGAAGTTAAATTAATAAAATGCTGGCAGTGGTGCTGTTATGATGGAACAGGAGAAAATAGAGTAATGAAAAGAAATGGAACGGGGCCTCCACAGAAGAAATTTCTGGTTTGACGAGAAAAAGAGTCGGTTTTCTAAGCCAAACTTCACTGAAAACAATTAGTCTGCTCTATCTATCCCATGCGTATCCAGACCAATCGTCCCCGCGAAGAAGGCAAATTTTCCCACTTTTTTTCCATCCAACAAGGATCGCGGTAAGAGACACCCAAGACAAGATGGGACATTGAGGGGCCTCTTTCTCTTGGAAAAAAAGGCTCAGTGAAAAAAAGACCCATAGGGGTCGAGTAGAGCACCAGCGTGACTTCTCGAAAGTCCAGTCCTTCCCTTCCTTCCATCCTACTCTTCTAAGACTTTTTTTTTTTCCACGAACACGCCGTGACCATGCACGCGGTTGACTTATGGCCGGCCAACCTCTCCGCCCATTTGTTCCCAATCTCTTCCGCCATTGTTCCTATCCCTATGGAAACACGTGCCCCCGTCTTTTAACCGGGCCATTCCGCTCCTTGAGAATGAACGTCCCTAAGCCTATGCCTAAAAAAAAAATGTTTTTCTCCCTTCTTTTCCCTTCCATTACCTTTCTCCTCGGACATGGACCAGCTCTGCGATTGACGCGGAAAAAAAGGAATGTAAGAAATGAACAAGGGAAAATAATATTAAGGGAGTTCCATCGCGTGCGTCGAGCTTTGCACTGTTGTAGTAAACAGGAAGCTTCTTAGTAGGCATTTCACATTCAAAGGCGGTAGATGCGAGTCAATGGAGGAAAGCTTTTGGAGGGAAATGGATATTATCATCCCCTTATCTCCCCTCTTTATCATGGCATAAGGAGGAGGAAACATTCGATGTGTGCCCTCCCGATGAGGTTAATTACTGCCCATGTTTGTCACAGAATCCCTCTTACGTGTATCTCTTCCTTATAGAATAATGGAAGGAGAGAAAAGGGACAACGTCATGGAAACGAGTTCTTCATGCAAATCTCCCTCCATTAGCCAGTCTTGCTTGAACGAAAGCAGTGGGATACACTTTCCACGTGGCGTAACGACACTAAGGTACTCTCAGTCAAAGAGAAAGGGATTCTCTCTTTTAACTCTATGGAAATTGGAGCAAGAAAGCTAGTTCTCACTTGGATCATCTTGGATCAGCTTTGTGACTCACTTGCGAACCGACAATCTTTCTTGTTTCATAGGAATACTTGCACGAGATCGCTCTGGTCACCTGTTCATGTGATCTTGTCCGGCTAGTCGCCTCCATAGAATACGCCTCCTCATCATGAGATGGCGATTTCGTACGGAATTTATCAGAGCGCTCGTGATCAGTTTCATGTGCCGTCGAATCCGCCGTGCACCGTGCACAATCAGGCATCTAATTTGCTCCAAGCAATAATGCTAAGGCAAGCCATCACCGTGGATACCACAATAAATGGCGCTACACTATTGCATGTACTTAGCCCTTGAGTACAGAAGGACGAAATTTACATGCAGGCATGATGAAACTGTCGACTGAAAAACAATGCCAAATTAATTTCCAATGAGACACTACGGCTATAAAGCGAGCCATGTGCATCATGTACGTGTTGCCTCTAAAGGCTGCAATTTCACTGAACGGATACAACATCGTTCGCATCGTTGCGAAAGTCATATAGGGGAAGATTTTGAATTTTGACTTCACCTGGACCCAAGTCACTGTAAGCTTCAAGTCAACATCTCAAAGTCAAGGCACCTGGTGAGAATCATAGATGGGTCTTTCTAAGAGAAGCAAAGACAACTTAGTGCAGCTCCAAGGACTTGGAGAATTGAGAGATGTCATAGATTCTACACATGTGAATCTCCACAGCTGTCTTTCTGACAGTTAGCTTCGAATCATGTGGCTAGTGAAAGTCGAAATACGATTCCCTTCGCTGGCCTTGGTTAGGTGATGAGCATGAAGGGAATGCAATGGCGATCCGTTGTCGATTTCAAGAAGCAGACAGGCCATCGAAATACGAGGTATTTCATGAAACGCCTCTGCCTTTCTGTTCGCTTGTTTGTTAGTGAGAACATCATCTTTGCCAGCAACATATTTGCTTTCGTGGAAAACTTTCATGAGAAAGTACCTGCATGAAGGGCCCAAGTCCCGTATCCATATGAAGGACAGTTAGAAAATACTATCGCAGCAGGTGGTCTGAGAAAGCATCGAGCATGACGACTGAAAGACGAATGAAGAAAATGAGGAAAACTTTCCACACGTTCTTAGCAAGTGCAGCAATTGTTCCTCATCAGCGCTTTCATCACCTTCAGAATGCCTACAAACTGGAATCTATCGGGGATTTGAAGGATAGATTCAGTACCACAAGACTTACTTCTGTTCATGGAATTTCACAGCATCTAAAGGCAATCTCATATTTTCTTCCCTTAATGAAGGGTAAGGAGCAGTGATTGGAGAATATACATTTGTTTCTTTTTTTTTCTTTTTTAAAGAAAAGGAGTAGAGAGAAGTAAAGTCGGAACGATCGTCTTTTCTACGGCCCACACACAGAGAATGGAATGACTCATTATCTGTTCAGGCCAAAGGATAAGCGCATTTCTTCGATTCATGGGCTCACTCTTCCTTTTGGCCCTTAAGTGGAAATCCTTGAAAAATTCCTGAGCAGGATCTGGCAGAGCGAGGCCAGGTGATTGTGAATCACGACCACTCTGGGCCACACACGAACTCCCATGTGCCGTTCCATTCATATCCTATCCTCGTTTCTAGAGTCGGCTTATTACTATTATTTATTTATATTTTTTTTTAAATAAGTAGATTAGACCTCAGCCTACTCTGCCGAAAAGGATAGAAGTCGATTCGATAAGAAACCTGGCTGCAGCCTGATGGACATTTGTCTCAATTCTCTCCTTATCCACGAGAAGAATCTCAGCCATAGTAACTCATCGCATTGCCTATAATTTGCCACGCCCATGAGATATATGCATGTATACAAGTATATGAGGCTAAGCTTGTGCATATTGTATGTATCGCAAACATAGGCCTCTCTGCCTTTCCCTTTAGCCAACCCAGCATCTCTCTGCGCTCCTGGCAATGGTAAAGGGCAAAGCCGCAAATGACATAAGTGCCTTACAGGCAGGTGCAAAAAATAACTTCTGACCTTGTTTCTGCTATGGGTAAGGGGATGCACAACATCTAGCGTCATTTCAGGAAGAACGAGAACAATGCAGAGGGAAATAAAAATTCTCATACCCTTTTCAGAGGTGGACGAGATCGGATGAATTCCAAGATGAAGGCATGGGCATCCTTTTTGACCTTGGGGGGAAGTTTCCCATCCACCATAATCTTGTTCAATTTGTACCTCTTCGAACGGATATCATCCATGAGAATTTCATAAGGCGTCAGGGCATACTCAATGGGTGCAGTGTTGGGATCCAGCTGAACCTTCTTCAATTTCACCACTTCTCTCAATTGACCAACAACCTGCATCCAGAGACGAGCCTGAGAGTATGAAAAAAATTGCAAAGTAAAGAATAACATCATCATGTGTGACGTATCTCTTCCCATAAATTCACTGTCAATACCTGAACTGAAAGGTCAATGAACGCCAAGAGCGCAAAACTAATGGCCTCGGAAGCTGTGTCACCATATGGAGAGATGCATCATGCAGATGCGTGAAAACGAAATTGCACGTTGGAGTCCCGACAAGTAAGACAGAAGTGGACAGCGCCGGAGTAACGAGCATGACGCGACACAATCTAGAGGAAATAACCCCGGAAGTACACCACATCCACTTTACACGTTCGAATTATTGGCTCGATGATACCGTGTCCTGATAGCAAAATCGGAAATAACCGAAAGATGGAAGGAACAAGGAAGTGAAATTTCTCGGGGCTAAAGACCGCGGAGCCGTTCTTACCTCCCCCCCCCCCCCCATCTCCATCTCCATACAGTCTCCCCATCCTTCGCCGTCTCTATCCCTTTCAAATAAACAGCACCAACTGCTATCACCTAACAATATATTAATGACCCATTTAGCACCTTCGTCATTCTTTGTGGACAGCGGCCGCTTCCTGTATGGAAGAATGGGGCTGGTGTGCAATATCATTAAAAATCCACATGGGAAAGGGAGTAAATTCTGGGGCAACTTTTATACATCCTCAGGTTGCTTCTGAAGCAGCAAGAGCAAATACTGACAGAGAACCTGGGTCGAACTTTCATAAGTTCGAATGAGGTCACAGGGGGGAGACAGTTAGAATTTATGGTAAGAACACACGTTCATGCTCAAGGAATGCTGGAAAGCCGAGATGATTTTGATGACCAGGTTCGTTCGAAGCCCCAAGAAAGAAAAAGCCTCGAGCTCAGGCAACAGGTGATGCCGTGGAAAATTAACTTCAGAAGCCCTTAAATATGACAGCCTCGGGCAGGAATAGGCCTCATCTCCGTACACGAAAATTGCCACAAATGATACACTGAACCTTCGGCCAGGGAGAGTCCTCTGCAGGAATGGAGTTGTCATTCGTGCCCCCACTGCCATTACAAGTCGCTTTCAGGATGACTGAAGGAAAATGGAAATGAAAGAGAGGAGAAAATACGAGAAGAGAAACGAGAGTAATGTGAAAGACACGGGTTAGAGTTCCCCCCCACCACTATGGAGTTCATTCCAGGGAACACCGTGAATAGCGTCATCCTTCGTCCACAAGGAAATGAATGGAATTCCCGAAGTCATAATGTTGTCTCCACTGTAACGACTTATGCCAGTCATTGGCCGACTTATTCATTTTCACGTGAGTGGGTCAAGGAAGAATCATCTTCTGGCATTAGGAGTCTGTTTCAAAGCTACCAAAAGAAGTGCGTGTCAACAGGAAAAGTGGAGGTGGACATCGGGAGTAATGAAGGTACAGAATCACTTTTTCAACCGACAGGACATGGTTTGTCTCAATGGGCGCAGTTCCTTTCTCAGCCCTCGAAGACACAAAGCAGATAGAGAAATCGAACGACTAAAAGCCGACAGCAGGGAGTGGGTAACAAATTATGTCAGGTGTGGAACTGTGCGAAGGATTTGTCTTCTCTTTCCTGTCTCTCTTCCTCTCTTTCCCCTTCACCTGGAGGCACGGATATAGCAAGCAATGACCGAAGCGAACAAGGGGCAGCGGATGGTGATTTCCTCCGGGCCATCGACTGATTCAGTTTTGCAGCCTACGGGCTACATGTGTTACTGATTTCAACCGGGACATGTTGTTGCATCTCTGGAAGCATTCCCTGTCGAAACATTTTGCCTCCTCTATTGGGGCAACGTGTTTTCATCGTCGTGTTTACCTTACGCATGTGTACAGAGCACATGACAGATTTCCCAGGAGATGAACGTCACAGAAGATTTATATTTCCAGCCGTCCACTACCACAGATAGAAATAATCATGCAAACTGTATTAACCTCATAGTTTGCATGGTTCATATTATTCCCTCATTCATGGTCTTGGTATTCTACTGCATTCATCGTGCTTCATCATGAATTTTCTGCTGAAGAATGCAAGAGCTATTTTGCGGAATTTCGACAGTTGATGCATGCAAGAACGTACCTTACCGGAAGTCCCCTTAAATTTTACAACTGGGAGAGACTGAAGCAAAAATACGAAATCCACTTGAACATCGAAAGGCAGGAAGTAGAATTCGTTATCCTGTTCGACCAACATAGCGAATGAGAATGATATGAGCGCAATAACCTTCCTTGAGGCAGATTCTTGAATCAGGTGGAATTGAGCAAGGGAATTATAAAAGGCGACATAGAAATAAACAATCCATTTAAAAAATAAGCTAGAGTTTCCTCTCTTAGATACTTTAGAACAAATCTACAGCTGCGCAATGATTTTGCTCATAAGTGGCTGCTTTAAAATGAGCTGTGAGCTTGTGTAATCAGGATAAACACGGATTACAATAACTCAAAACTCATACATTTGCAGTCACATATGAGCAAAATCATAGCGTTTAACCGAGGCTTAGGAAGGAAAGGTAGTGCCTTTTACAGACCGAACATATTCTGCGTGAATTTTATAAGATGCAAAGCTTGATGACGTTCGATTCTTTCCACATGATCAGATCGCATCCAAAATATATTCCGAGTACGAGAAGCGTTTGTGAAGGAAGTAATTCAAAAGCTTATCTCCTGGCGAGTCAGATCATGAGGAACCATATCCCCTACCTACTTACGATACAATTCTTTCTGCGGTCAATTACAGGTGTGGGCCAGGTGACCCCATTCTCTCTATGGAAGATCCCGGGGTAATTTATGACACTAATTATGCAAATCCCTAAGGCCTCCATATATTGCTGCCAACGACTCTCCGTACCATTTGCATAGTAGATTACCGTTCTCCTTGACTTGCATATCTCACAACATTTTGGTAAAAAAAAAAAAAATGAAATCGTCCCTGTAAACATGATCCTTCTTGTGAAAGGCAATGTGAGGGGCTCTCTGGCCATGTTTAACCATTTTGAGGCGACGTTAAGAGTCAGTACTTGAGGGTGAGGTCGCTCTTCTCCCGCTCCCACACCCAGAGCCACACTTCAAAATTCCAGGAGTCTTTCATTAGCATAATAAAGCAAGAGGAAGCAAACGGGAAAGCACCAACACCCTCCTACGTCACGATCGTAGGACAAAGCCAGAGAAAGGGAAATAACACAAACGCAAGAAATAGGAATCAAACGTTAGATTATATGATTGACGACAAGAGTCATGGGTCACCATTAAGACTCTTTCCATGTTCTCAAGATGGGGTCAAGTGTCAGAAATAGGATGATCTATCAATATATTCAACACAATGGCAAAGAGAGCACAAGCAGAGGTTTCAAATAAAAGAACATATCCCAAATGGGACAGAATGGGACGCCCATGGGTATATATCGCCCATATTGCTTTCTTCACACTCGGCACACGGGTATGCATGGGGATCTTCAGGAACAATGAATACAATTATCCAGTAACAGCCTAATTGAAGAAAGTTATATATCTTCACATTCATGATGAACGCACGATTATCGTGGAATTTGAGTAGGGGATGGGCCATATGTGAAGGTTGACTACTCGTGAATATCTCAAGCAATGCGTAGTAGAGATAAATATCGGATACAATTGGCAACGGTACGACAAGTGTGAGCTGACCCCCCCATAACAAGCTCACTCTTCATTTTCGTCTTCTTCATTATTTTTAACCTTTCAGTCCTGAATTTAAAATATAAATGATGTAAAAACGAATTTTCCTTATTCAACCGTCCACAATGAAACGTCATTAACTATTTAAAAAAAATATGAATTCCAAAAGAGGCCACAAGACTCAGAAGCATAGCTAGGCCTCAAGGCCATGCATTCCTATATAGCCCTGGAAAATATAGTTTTAAAAAATGTGGGACCCCTGAGTCCCACCAGGACTGAAAGGGTTAAATTCATTTACTTCTTGCTGGACTCAGAAAGGTGGGAAAACTGAAACTAAGTAGATACAAGATTACAGCAATTTTGAGTCACGATATGATGCTATTCGCCACTGTTTATAAGGATATTGCAATTGAGGGGGAATAAGAAGGATTACAATCTTCTAACATCAGACCCAATTTTATCAAGGATGAGCGTTTAACCACCTCTTTAACCACACCATAGCCATCAATGCAAAATAACAGAACAGGGGGCAACTTTTTCTGCAGTGGGTATGCTCGGATGATGAAACAGAAGTCACGACATATAAACATTGAATAGACTCTGATTCAAGGACAGCCGTTGGGGGCCACATCATCCTTTCCAAATTCCACCGTTTCCAATCACACTGCATCGTTTACAAACAAATGCGAAGAGACTTACGAAACATCACCTGCCTCTTTTCCTTCCTTTTCTTTGCAGAGAAAGAAGGAAGAGAGTGCATGGCTAGAATTGCATTTTTCACCAGGCTTTCTAATCCCATAAAAGATAGGGAAGGGGTTGACTCTCCAAGGCTCAGGTCCTGGGAAGGAGTTGCCCAGTCTCAAAGGAGACACCAGAGGAGGTTCATTTCCCACGTAATACCTGTCAGTTGGCTCCCAAGACCCTGTTTATGGCTTGGTAGCGCGCGGCTGCTGAGGGCAATAGGCCTCGTCCTAACCTTGCCATTTCTCACGGAAATTACGCAAAGGTCAGAGTCAGGAGCTTTCTCACATATGGGATCTCTCTCTCCCCTTCTCCGTCTGACCATACAGGTCAATGCACTGGTGGAGTCTCATAACGAACGATAACCTTGTCATGGATGCCATTCTACCATGTGCGTACATGTAGGACTATGTGCTACATGTACGCACCTGGTCTTGATACATCTAAATAATAGTCCTCTCAACCCCGTCAGCGTTCGAAAAATTCGTGCAAAGTTGAAAACCGTGCATGACTTAATCCGAATATTGATTTTCGCAAAACTAGCTTCATCAATGCCAATAAGCCATACTTCATGAGAAAAAGCGGCCAGAGTGAGATACTTGATGAGGCTGACTTACCCAATCCGAGAAATGCAGATGGTCTATTTCTGAGGTAGATTCATTGTCGCCAAATTTCTTCAACGTTTCTGATCCTTGACTGACGATGTCCAAGAACTGAGTGAGGTCCAAGGCTTCTCTGACCAATGCCCGACAAACGTTTCTGTAATGGACTTCCGCATCTTCCAGACTCGATGTCTTCAAATGATTGGCGCATAGCTGCAACACATCCAACTTCCTACGTTAAAAAGGTCGAAATGCAAGCCAATGAAGACTAAGGCCCGAATGCACAAACCTCATTTAGGCGAGATAATGAGGCTTTTAAGCTAAAGAGCTCCTTTTCGCCTATAGGAGTCCATGTCCAGGACCGTTAAAAGGAGGTTTCAGCATTCGGGCCTAGGTCACTTAAGTAGGGTGGAAGATTAAGACGCCTACAAGAGGAAATCTTCGCGAAAGATCTTGGCTTAAGGACATATAGTGTTCGGAACTTCCGAAGAACCCCTCAAGCAACAAAATAAGACCCCCATTGAACACCCCTCTACTCAAGCGTGCCTCAGCAGGACACTGCATTGTTGCAGTGTAACCAGGTCATTCCAGGCTGGCACTTCGGAAATAAACGGGTAGAGATTAGTGAATGGAAATGAGAGATTTTTCCGTGTGCAGCGAGACGTGAAAAGGTGCCATTCATCCCTATGATTACAATGAATGCGAGCCGCCTGAAAAGTTACCCGTTTCTTCCATGAAGAAGGTTCTGACGGATAATTGCCGGGTCTCGGTGAGAGACGGAGGTGAGAAAAGAGGGCCGAGGCCTGAACCCTGAAGGTAGCATTCAACCGATTACCAATTCCATTGAAGCAAGACAGCGAGACATGCTCTATGCATGAATGCAAGTTTCGATCAAGAACAAGACCGATGTCGCGATTTGTCAGGAAATATCTCATGTAACTGATTGGAGAGGACGGTGAATCATTGAGCCAATGCCCAGAGGCGCATTCACGTATGTCTGCTAGGTTGAAGAATCGGCACTGTCAAACCATCTTTCCTTGCATTCCTTTTACTTCCATGCAGTCACAGTTCGGCTGTCGCCAGGCCTTTGAAAGCTCTAAATGGAGGATGATCGAGCACTTCAATCAGACGCGCTGTTTCGTCCGTGAAGGAAGAACCTGCAGGTGGTTCGTCGGACCGGAAGACAGGAGACAATTGACGGATTCAGTTCAGGAGGGTGAACAAAGAGGAAGTAGATGGGGGGAAAAAAGCCTCGCCCCAACATGTCCCGGCGATGGGTGGAAGCAATGTTGCCTACGGACCATCACTCACTGGAACACTTACCGTCATTTACATTACGCAGTTTCAATTTTCCCTTTTGATTCAGTATGATATGATGAAGATGTTCGGGGGACTTTCTTCCTCTTTGCAATCGAGAGTGGAGCCAAGCAAAAACTGAAACCGATCCCGGTTCCACTCTGGAAGGTCAATTAAATATGGAGAGTGTACCCATCCCCCCCCCCTTGCCCCCTGAGAGCCAGGTCGTTAACATAAATTTTAAAATTCGAGATTGTCGGGAATCGGTTGAGAATTTTTGTCCTATATTCCATCAGCAGAGAGAAGACCGCTGTGTGAGTTGATGCATTTCGATATCCTGGCAGTATACTGCGGCATTCCTCAGCCAGCATATTCTTCTTGTACAGGACCATTGTAGTGTACCTGTGAATAACTGCGCTAATATGCTACGTAACGCATAGAAGTAGGAACGTTCTAGAAAGAGGGGAGGAGGTGGAAATCGCTCCGAACAGCCCGTATTGGGAGAGGGATTTCGAAAATGTGAATGCCAGGACTCAATTTGCTAGCTAGACGGGCATATAATGGAGGGGGAGGGGGGACAACAAAAAAAGAAAACTCGATGTCCAATACTCTCAAGGACAAAATATGAGTCTGTTTGGTACAAGCAAAAGAATCGCATGGGATCACACCCAAATAGCCTGGAAAGACACTCGGAGATTCACAACATAAAGCTCTGCTTGGTTCACTACCACAAAGGAGTCCATAGAGTAGATGACTTCACATGAAATATTCGACAATGCAGTGCGATATTTTAGAAACGACCATTACCCAAACCTTGGACTTCGTTCATTCGGTACAACATCGCAAGAAGCGAGATATAACAGAAAAGACCTCCATACAATCTACATTGAAACCTGATTTGACGATTATCTTCACCGGATGAGTTCATATAATTTTTCTTCCTTTCCATGTGACGAGGCTCCTATACAGAGAGGTTAAAAAGAATGCAGTTGACATGCACTCACCTCGAGGACCTTCTGCAATGAAAATCGGTCCCCTTCATCATTTTCTCCAGCATCTTGTTCAATCCCTTCATCCGCCTCTCTGTCCTCTTGTCCGAGATCGGGTGAGAGGCTCCCTAAAACCAAGAGATGAAAGGTAAAATATGCAACTGCCTCCCATGGAAGTGAAGACAAATGGCGATGAGTACAATCGACGGGAAAAGGGGGTCCTTCATTAGCGAACGAAAGCTACTCTGTCATTTTGGAAACCATTAAAGAAAGAAGATATACACCGCCTGCAAAGAACGAAAGAATCGGGGGGAAAGACAATAGGGGAGAAATGCGCTTTTCGAAAAAAATAAATGATATGTTCCGGATAGACTTAGGATCAAAGAACGGAGGCCGGAAATGAGGGTTCGATAATGGACGGAAAGTGACTCATTCCCAACTTCCTCGCATTTTTTCTTTCCGTGCCCTGGAGTGAATCCGTGGGATCCTTGTAGAAGGCGTCAGAATATTAATGGATCAAATTGGGGGAAACACCTTTAGGAGAGGAAAAGATGGTATGATGCGAACTTCGGTACACAATGGTATCCATACCGCTTCATCTATTGCGAACGTGGGTTTCATCGGATATCATTGACGAATCATGCGTCGTTTCGTTTAGCTTTCTCATTGCAACTGATTTGGTGAAGATCGTTATGACGCTGACTTGGGCTTATGTATTATGAATATACGATAACAGTGGCATGAGATATCTTAAGATATATGCACTTATAATCCGCTAATTTGATTTCCCAAATTGATATTGATAATCACGGAGAATGACAAAGGGCGAGAGCCTGGACAGAGGAAGCCGAGATATAGAAAACTCCCTGTCCCTCCACGTTCGACGGCATCCACTCCCACGAACCAAATCCCTGTTGCTCACCTCACCCACTCACAATAAAACATCTCCCACCCACACTGAACCCCCAGCAAATCTGGAAAATCTCACCAACCCAATACACCCTTCCATCCGCCCCAGAAACCTTCATCCCATTCCCATCCACTTTCAAACCAGTCCCGATTGTGACTGGGCCTTCCCATTCGTGGACTATCGAATAATTACTGGGAAGATTTATGTGTGATAACAATATTTTAACGAAATTATCCACATACAACGACAAGGGTGCAGTTACACGTATATGGAAGAATTTAAAAGGACTCAAAGCACCCCTGCAATCCTTGTGCATATATTTACATCGGCAAAATAGAGCTGAAAGATGGAAGAGACTAATATGCCCGAAGATTCGCATCAGTATTTTCAGAAATTCCTTGAGATGCAAGAGAGGATTCGACATAACTCCTAGAATGTCGATTAATTATATTTCCTTACATTGTCATTTTAATTTTCACTCTCCCTTGATGATGACGAATATGAATGTGGTCAGTGATGACGAGTAAATCTGGGCAAGTAAACTTATATTCGGTTGCAAAAGCCCACCTCCCAAGACGTGTGTAAGAAGAGTGTTCACGAAAAAAAGGCGAGAGTTTTCAGGGAAAGGGGGGAAACTGGAAGTGTACGAGAATATGGATTGGGCACGTGTGACCAAAAAAGACGGATGAGAACAACTGTGCACTGTAGGTGGAGTGTGTTGTTTGTGTCTGTGACATCGGCATAGCCAACACATTTCTTTCTCTTCTAGCTTTTGCAGAGGACACGGAGATGGAAGTTCATTTCGAGACCCTGATCGCCATCATCATCAATAATGAACTTAGGGAAATAATGAACGGAGGTGAAATGAGTGAGAGAGAAAGTTCTGGCTTTGAGGCACCACGAATGATACACGAGTGCTGTGCTTGTCTGCCTGGCACACATTCGTGAAAAGAAGATGAATCGTGTCACCCCCTCTGAGATGCGGCTGCTTCCCATGGAATCGGTCATTTTCGGGCCTAGAAAGGCGGCGCATCTTCTGCCTCATCCAGGGAGACCCAATTCTGTCAACTAATGAATAGAAGCTTTGCATCATATGCTAACGGAAGGGAACACATCCACACACGAAACTTGGAACGATGCCTCCCCAATTCTTTAAGTGAAAGTCTCCCTTATAATAGCCTATGATTATGGTCTGGATAACATTGGCTTCCTCGGGCCTGTACTTTTTTACCATCAACATTCTTCACAGCATGCTTTTTGAATCCATATATCCCAGCCAGAACCTCTCGCATCAACGTACGTGCACAGCTCTGCCGTGCCACATAGATGAAAAATCACTCATCCAACAACTAATTGGAGGTAACATTCCATTCCAAACCCGGCATTTTGCAGTTCATAAAATCAATGGATAATGGCATGGAAAGCTTATGGGACAAAAAAAAAGGTCAAAGCCAGGAACAAGAAAGCTAAATCTGTAAATTGTAAGTTACTGAGGAAGCAGTACCTTTGTATGAGGCATTCAAAAGCTGACAGCCATTTTTTATGATACAAGGCATTATGCGACTAAGAGTGCTAAGTGTTAAGAGGAATGAGAGGAATTTCTCACGTGTGCTCCTCGTCACGACTGGTCAGCGTGTTAGGAAGATAGAATACAAGTCATCACTCCTCGATTCCATGCCACAAACATGTATGTTTTACTACAACAAGCTAGTTCGGGGAACGACGGATATTCGATTTATTTGAAAGAGGGAAGACTGCTTATGACCATCAGATGACACGCAGCAAAAATAGAGTCTGGTGACGGCAATCAGGGCAATGTAGCGTACACTTTTAGAAAGTGTTACCTAAGATTTAAATCCCTAGCAATTACTTTTTCAAAATGTAATGCTTCGACAAGAGAAATGCGGTAGCTTATAAGTTCTTTCATACAATATAGCTACAAATACTCACGAACGAATTAACAGGCTTGCAGATTGTCTGCGTATGGCTAAAAAAAAAGAAGAAAAGAATGCGTGTTGCTTGCGGTCTCACAATTTAACCGTAGAGCACTGTAATATATTTGACACTAGTAGATTTCCACTGTCGTGAGCGCTGATCGACTCCCATCCATTAGCGCGGATAATGGATGTTCTAATATAGAAGAAAAAAACTAATGGATATTAGCAACGAATACCGTGATCCCACATCACGGTACGACGTAACAGAAAAGCTACATCCATGCATCGACTGCCGCAGGAAGAGACATGAAATATTCAGAAGAAGGGGTACTAGTGACAGAATACAGATGTAAGGGCAAGGTACCGTTGAACCTGATGAGCGTAAAGCTCACTTATCGCTCTCCCCATGATATCCAGAACTAGGAGTCATCTATTAGCGTAACTAGAGGAATGAAAGGGAAAATCACTGGGGACATATCGTTGATGTAGTCAGATCGTCCATACTGTTGAGGACTAGGGTAGATGGTTCACGAAAATAAGCACGCATAAACAAGCAGGTCTCGGTCGCCCTCTCGAGCTTAGTCAGGCTCAGAGGCCCCTGAAGGAAACGTGCCATCTCAGAGAGGCGGCGACTATTTCTATGAGGTACTAATGAACCTAGACAGCCCATCTAAGATGCATGATCCTGAGTAGAAATATTTTCTCGCACATTTAATGACAAATGGTCGTCTCATCACGTGATATACAGAACGCAATGTCACACCGGGCAGAACCGTTATTTACTTTCTCGGCGAAGCCACGTCTGCAAATGAACCTCATCACCGCACGATTTTCTCTTGCTTTCCCATCACCGTCATCATCTGCATCAGGATTCCTTCTTTTCTCAAGCAAACTAAGGTCAACTTCGAACTCCACTAAAGTCTATGTGTCTGACCTCAACGACCAGCTAAAGAAAAAGCACTTCCCTGTCGTCCTACCCACATTCGCCAACCACATTTGAGAAGAAAAATATTGGAGAGGCGAGAGTAACGTCACCACGTTGAAGTGTGCGAAGGTGTTTATAGGTGAAGTGGATTTTTGCAAGCACCGTAGATGGGAGTACAGGGGAAAATAAATCCTGAACTTTGCCCTGCCCTTCGTTAGAATCGATGAAAATGCAAAATCTGGGTCTGGAGGTGAGAAAGAGTAGGAAGAGTGTGGTAAGGTTGAGGTCCGCCTCAGGACGATGTCAACACCCGGCAAATGCCTCTGGGGATCGCGTCTCAGATGTGGATCCTTGTTTTCACTGCATCAAGTATGGTAATTACAGGAGAGGGAAGCATTTCCTGCCAGCGAGCCAGGCAGAGCTCCAAGTAGGACTGAGGAAAGGACGACAGCGATGATGATGATTATGATTACGATCTTCGGGGCTCATTCAAGATTTTCCCCTCCATTTCCACAGCCCACTTTCTTGAATGCTGATTCTCCACATGGGAGGATGGCCTTGGCCATTACGAAGTTCCTTCGCCTGCATTCCGATACCCATGTGACACCGATATGAGCCTCTATTATCATGTCTTGCAAGACACAGCCCCTATTATTCCCCCTCTTCTGCTATAACGGAGACCTTTGTATTCTGCATCCTACAATGGCATCTTTCAATGGTCCTTGGGGGTAACATGGAGGAGACATAACATTTCTTAGTAAGCGAGTTGCCAATGGTGCCGCCGACATGGAGACGATTTTTCCAAGGGGACATTCATTCCCAATTTAAGGGTAATGGCACCACTATGCCGTATTTCATGGAGAAATTATAGTATCAACGACCTTCTTCACCCTACCAATACGAGTGTCCATGCTCAGCGTTCTCACAAGGGAACAGGAGACACGTTGGGAGGTTTTGTGACGTCAAGGGGTATTGATCCATCCAACCACTCCCTCCCGCACACAGGAGCCCTCTTTCATCATCTCTTTCTCCTTATCACGAAAGCTTCTTCGTATTCTCAAAGGTGCATGTCATTGCAAAAAGACAAAAATAAGTCTCAGCACTCGAAACCAACATTCATAACTGATTACGGTACAGGATATCTTCAGCTGAAGCATCAGTAGCAAGCAATGAAGAGGGAGTGAATGAAGGACAGCTCCTATCTCCAATGTATTTAACCGCTTTGATTAACCGCACCTTTGTAGTATACAGTAGTGCATTGAAGGAAGACATAAACCGGTTTATTGGTGAGGAGGTGGTGGCGGGGACTGGCTAAGGCGTGCTGGCATGCTGTTCACCTCCCCCAGCATAACTGTCAACCTTGAGAACGGTGTCCTCCCGTAACATTCTGTAGGATCCCCCCCCCATCCCCCCTTTGGGTATGAATAATGAAGAATAGAGTGTCACGAAGCAGCTATTTCGAAGCATAATGACCGCAGGCTGTGCACGATGATGGCCATCAGATAATTGTCCACTGGATACAATACTGGGATTATCATCAGGTTCTTTTTTCTGCCCCACTTACAAGGAGTCTTTGTCATGCTGAACTGCTATATAAGACGCGCGTTTTCGTTGAACCCGGGATCCCATGTAAGTATGTCTCTAATTTCAAGCCATGTGGCGTGGAACTTGGCGGAGGCTTTAATTCTAAACGTTGTTCGCCTGAACTTATCTCACGTCATGGAAATAAACTCTTGCATTAAAGATGCCGGCATCGGTGGAAAACAAGCTTTACATTAGTAGTAGATACGACAATGCATGCAGAAACTTCCTAGATGAGCAGTAAGGGCTTACCAGATGAAGTCATTTTGTCAATGAGACTCTCGAGGGAGGAGGAGAGAGTCTTTTCCTCATCAGCTGGCAATCCAAGATCGAGAACTTGGTAAATCACCATTCCCAGTGCTGCGACCAACTACGGACACAAATATAAATATGACATCAGCATAGTTATAACGAAAATCATTCACATTTACAAAAACCAGTCCCTGAATGATGAATTTGCGCCAAATGAGGATTATCCAACTAATTTTCTCTACACGCCCCATCTGGCCTCTATCCATACTGTGTGGGCTGTGGCAATACATGTTAAGCCAGAAATCCAGTGAAACTTTCAAGGCAACAGGAATCTCTCGATATCTGTCGATGCCTCTGGGCAATCATGGATCACTGGCGTTCCGAATGTCCGGCCTTATTCTAAAGGACGACATACGAGATTCCCCGCATTCCGATGGCGAAATCACTCTTTCCCATTTTCGTCTAGTAGATATGTTGTGCTTTTTCTCGACGTGAGCGTCGCACGCGAACTCCATGCACTCTAAATGAAACGCGACGTCCACAAAAATGTCCTGTCAATGCGATATGCTTGTTTCTCAGGGGGTTCGTGCAGTAAGTGGGTGGGATGAGGTGGAAACAACGAAGACGGTCCTCCTGAGCCGTAATACCTCCTGTTCGTGCTTATCTTGAGACCCAACATATGCGTGAAAAATCTGACAAACACCATGGGTGTGCAAGTTTCTTTACGATGCTGGTAGCTACCTGAGACGCCATGATGCAGTCCATCAGTTTGGGATTAAGGGCCACTACCTCTAATACGTCTACTTTCCATGATATGACTTAGGAAAAAGCTGCGAGGTCGTGTCTACTAGTACTGTGTATCGAGGGATGATGAGCGTAGCGTTGGTGATGACTGTTTATTCCGGCTACGTACATATTCGTGTCTCGAGATAGGGGTTGATAGCAGTGTACGTGTCGAGAACACACCTCATCAAATCCGCATCATACCTGAACTCATAACCTCTTCTCGTATCTCCACCAGACGACAGCTTGTGGCTTGCGAAACAATGTCTTTTGAAACCAGTCATTCCCCTTTTTATTTAAAGGAGTCATCTGAGATCATCGTTACGGATACTGCTGGCCAGGCGTGGCATATATCAGTGTGCATGTGCAAATGAACCATCCGTTTACAATGCAAAATTGTCACACACGTGGCATTGCTTATCATTTGGAAGGACTTCTGAGCGCATCCGAACCAGACATAGAATGGCGTTTCCTATCAAGCACTTGAGGAATCCGAACTCCAAGTGCCTTTGTATCAGCGAGCATCATAAACTACACGATATGAGTAATAGCATTGAAGGAGTCAACAGACGAAAGGGCTAATTAGAATGATTGAAAAATAGATTCGCACATGGAAGAAGTCGATAAGCGCCAAATTTATAAGGGAAAAAGCTTACAGCTAGTCACAATAGCAGAACCACATATTTAGTGGGAAGAAGGAGCTAATACGAACGGCCATAGCGTTTTACGGATGGAAGGTGTTCCGGGCTTTAAAACCTTAAAAAAAAAAGGAATCCTTCCTGTGGATCAATTGTGGGACTACCGGTGACCCTTCAACTATCTCGATCGTCTTCTCTTTTCAAGCGAGGAGACTTTAAAAAGACCAGGCCTGACTACGGAAGCATCCAAGCAGGAAGTGACCTTGGAGAACCCGTAGTTTGAAAGCTGCAGATGTTTTCAGCCCTTTGTCTGAGTAATTACATAAGGTCCCCGTCAACGCGTTGCATAAGCACGTTACACATATCTGACAGCACTTTCAGATGACAAGATAAGTAGCACGGGTGACGCGAGAAAAATGATCAATGCCATGACTGAAGCCCACACGACGTCGAAACGTACAGTAGGCCTTACAATGTTTGTCTTCCGTTGGTTACAGAGATCATTCGGGAAAAAAATACACTTTTAAACGTGGCACCGAAAACATGGCAAATGCTATGAAAAGTGGCTCGTACTGTGAGTGTGCTCGTGAAATCAACTTCGTCTAAGACAGCTGGACCTGAAGCTAGAAGATGAAGCACTCGAGACCTGATCTCCCCTTGATGGATATCCCTGAGAACAATGAACGCAGAGATGGGGATGAAAACACATCCTCCCCTGTCCCCAGGCTCAGATTGGACCACAGCGCAACAGCACAAACAAATACTCATTTAAATTCCTCAACCAGTTTGAAAGGGCAACTTCCTCGATCCACGAGGGCCATAGGCTTAGGATCTGTCTGAACTAGTCAGAATCAGAGAAGAGGGGGAAAAGACGTGACATCTATATAAAAAAAATATATTTTTAAGGGGGGGGGGGGAAGGGGGTCTCTCTTCTGGGTAAGGCTCATTTCCTTTCCTTCATTGCACGCTTTATCTCGGTTCGAGAAAGATTCCAGTTCCAGTCTAAGACGTGAGGCACCACCCGAACCCCTGCTGGAGGGGGCGAAAATTCAACGCCCAGTGGCCCACCAAGGTCGGGTCTCCTAGACCCCTTCATCTACATGCAGAATGCGAAGGAACAATGGCAAGAGAAAGATGGAAGAGTCAACATGCGAAACCCTCCATCCTTGGATACGGTTTATGAAACAAATATAGGCGACTAGCAATTGATGAATGCTTTTCCTTTATTATTGGAGGCGTTCCGGTCTCTCGACCCGGGGAAGTGAACCAAGGAAGCTTCCCATCTGTCATGTACGAGAGAGAGCGTCTGCAGTGGAGCAAAGGCCAGATTGAGTAACATGCGCTGTGAAACGCGACGAATTGCATTCACGCGCATGATGGGCTCGGAGCAATCAGAACGGTCGCCCCATCCCATTAAATGGAAGAGAAGGCTTGAGGAGACGGAAGCCGTAACACGTAATTGAAAAATCCCCGGTAGCCATACAATGATGAACGCTACTCGCACATACTTTCCCACGACTTCGATGGGCATAGAAGCAGGAGGTGAAAAGAGAAAGAGTTCTGCTCGAAAGGCAGAGAAAAGGTGAGTGCATGGCATGGGTTTGAGGCAGGGCGAGGACATGTTCTGCTTATGTGCGCGTGAACTACATGGCCAAGACGTGAGAAGGCGATTCAAAGACACTCTGACTGGACCTTTTCGGTCCAGGGAAAAGCCTACTTTGGAAGGCCTACGGAAGTGTTACGGCATTTCATAGTCCAGGTAGGTAAACAGGGTTGAATGCCTTCATTATAATTTATGACATGCAACCGCTAAGAAGGAAAGTCAAGGGTTAATTACCGAAGAAGGATGACCTAGACAGGGGATGCGTAGTTGCCAACAGCAGCATATCACATGGCACCCCATAAGAACAAGGAGATGAAGGGGCAGGGGGCATCCAAACGTGGCATATCACTGCATGACCGCTTTTCTGAAGAGGAAAGGAAAAAAAATTCTCTGAGTAAATGGCTTCTCTCAGGCACCCTCAATCTCCGGAAAGGGTCAACCGAGAGAAACCAGGGGTCAACTCTCCTCTGCAGCGAAGTGGACTAGTAGAACTGGCGAGAAGCCAACTAGCGGCGTCATCAGCAGATTACTTTCTGCTTCGGCACGTGGCCCTTTCTGACAGCCATATACTCCGGCTCGTTTGACTACTAGTAGGTGTGCATCTTTAACCTCATGAGTAGCAGCTTAAGCTGCTGAGACCTCGATGCAAAATTTTGCTACTTTTCGAGAGTGACGCCGATTTATCATCATATGGAACAACTTCAGGCCTCGAGAATCAGAGAACCTTTTATTCCGCATATTTCCTATAAGTTGGCACGTTTGTGAAGGAGAAATGGATGGAATCCTAATCAAGCAAGCACTATTCGATGATGATGATGCTGTCTCAAAAGGGAAAGAGGATCTTCGCCCTTTCCGAAGTCACTCTTCCTCATTAAAAACAAGTCCAAGAACTAGAAGTGAAAGCTGATTCATTGGAAAAGATAGTGAAGAGCAAGCTGAGGTTTGAACAAAGGCCAATTAAAGAAAGTTTGTCATGGACGAAGTAGAACAAACCCGTAAAACTGGTGAAAGACGAAGTAAACGGGAGCTTTTAGGGGCATCAAACAACAGTCTTTACTGTCACGTAATGTATCTGCGTCTCAGCGCCTTTTCTTTCCAATCGGGCGGACTCATGCGACCCGAGGTTGGCGCAACGTATATTTCACTATGTAGTCATCATGACGAGTGCTTCTGTGACCAACTTGAAATAGCATATTCAGTCACGGACGATAACGTTGTGGTTACCATCGCTCGTAATCTGGCCTATCTATGCAGGAGGGACTAAGAACAGAGGTGAGGCGCACGCTGTCACAGCATTGACCTTAATTCAGCAAGGCGGAGGGAGAAAGGATCGATGCGTTGCCATGGCAACTGCTTTTGGCGCCCGGAGACCACATGCGATTCAGAAGCCGCTTCGACTATGTACTCGACTTTCCTTTTTTCTATTCTCTAGCCAATTGCGGAAGTGTCTGAAAAATTTTTCACTAACAGCAATTAATACAATGCAAATACAAATGAATTCATCTGCTCGTACCAAAAAGGTGACTCCTATGAAATTCTAGAAAATTCTCTTCGAAGCACATATTAGCCAGTTTTGGAATCATTCATTATGTGAAATTCATATGGCATTCAGGTCATAATTCCTTTTTTTTTTTTTACAGGCAGCTATATCGCCACAATAATTGGCATATACTCCAAATTGATGCATGGCCAGAGTTGCTGAAGGAACGATGCAAAACGTGCGTGGAATAGTACTAAGAAACCCACGAACGGATACTGCAGAACACAAGCTCGCAAGCCGCATCAGCAAGGAAAGTCATCGCAAGAATGCAGGAATAGTGCAAGTTGTTGAATACGTGATTTGAGAACTTCTCTCTGCATGAAAGCAGCACAGCCGGGTTGCCCTTTGTATGAGACGGAAAGAGTCGAGGAATTGTATGCCAGAGGCAAGTGCAATAAATTCCCTTGGACATTCAAGAATCTCTTTCAAATAGTACATGTATCTGGTTGCATCTTGAAGATAGGTTGGTCATACACGATCCGAAGTCCAGCGGTCATTCACGGTTGGATGGATGACAACAATCCTTGAGAACAAAAAAAGGGATGCCGAGGATTCCTTGACGGCATCTGGCATGTCACTAAGTCACACAAGTCTCCCCTTATCATTCATACCAAAGTTAGAGTGGTTCAAATTGCGGAACGAGCCACCGTTATCAACTATGAGTACGGCACGAACACGTCCTCACAGCCAACACCAGAGGCTTTGCAATTTCAGCGCAGGATGAATACCCTCACATAAGGTAGAATAGCTAGATTGCTCACCTTGTACTCCGTCGGGACTGGCTTTCTCGTCAGATCTGCGGGGGGAAAAGAAATAAAATAGAGAATGAAGAAATGTGATTGCTTATTGCTGATTGAATGAAGAAGCCTGAATTTCCCCACCCTCCTTCGTTAAGTCTCTTCAACACTGCATGAAGTTTCTTTAACTCTGTGCTAATGGAAGAAAATTGTCACTGGGTGGTGAAGAATTGGGGAATTAGGCCTTAAATGTCCATTGATGCTTCAAAATATGTGTTTCCTGAAAAAACGCTGACACGTGGGTTGGCCCGGTGAGGACCAGTCAGGAATCGAGAACATGAGAAAGAATGAGGAGAAAGGATAAATTCCTGTTCACCGGAAATGAAAGATTGACTCTTCAATGAAGCTGTCGCGTTGTGACTGGGAATAATTGAATCATTCGCTTATCCCAGAACGGTGCCGGCATTTGAAACTGAGCTCGGAACGACGTAGTGCATGAAGAACTACCGCAAGGGACTTGCCTGACAGGCTAGAAACGGGTTACGGATGACCTTATACGGGGAGACACATTTTTCCGACATACTGACATATACGTGCATGGTTGCGAGATGAGCTACTACTGAAAGGCCGGGGTCATTTCACATTCCTGGAATTCACCAAAATAAGTTCACTTAATTGCCGCAGGAGGCAAACACTACCGCTTGAATCACCGTTTAAGGCCCCGGGGGGGGGGGGGGGTGAAGATAAGACACACGGGAAAATTTACCCGGTTCCTGGGGGCCATGATCATTAGAAAATAAGTTGAACCGATGTGGTGAATGTCACCCTATAGGTGATACGCATTATATGTTTAAACTGATCTGGTTTCAAATTAGTCTATGGAAGTGAGATGTCATTTCCCAATTCAGATTCGCCATGCATGGGTCTCTAAGACGTACGAGGGGGAATTGTCGAAGTGCGACAAGGCTTTCACGTATATGGTAGCTGATACGATAAGTCAGAATTTCATAAGTCGGTCATTATTAGTCTTGAGGACGCACTTCTTGAAGAAGGAAATTTCACCAAAGGGGAAAAGCTGTCCCAGAAAAAATAAGGGACTGCTGTTGCTGTTCATGAAAACGCTCCACGATTCGAAAGGAGTCAGGATAATGAATCACCTTGTAACCTTCGCTGAAACAGCCTTAGGGTCGTGTCTTGAAAAGAAAACGGGTTATAAGGCGAAGCCACGCATCACTGGAGCTTGTTTATATCCATTGAAGCCTTTCGAATGCCAATGTCTTGCCAAGTCCCATTCAATTCAAGAGCATGATGACCTGCTTGATTCTCCCATTTCCATTCCACATCATTCTCTTGAAGGGGGTTCCAGCTTGTATTCTTGTTTAGTGCGAATTCGGATTGACTTTGTTCTTTCATGCAGACTTTTTACGTTGTCAAGCCCATTGCGTGAATCCGAAAATGTACGAAGTCAAGCCAAGGTCGCTGCTTGTTTCCGATTTAACACCCCTGCAAGCAAAGCACTCCCTCCAAGAGTAGAGTAAATCAAGACAGATGTAATTCTCGCATCTTTCCCTAACGTGTCATAAAACCGCTGAGAGCGAGAAGTGAAAGGAAATTGACACATTTAACACGATGCAGACGATCAAGCATCGATAGAGGAATCGGCAGTGTGCGAGAAACACGAGACCACTTTGCAGGACCTGAATGACTCATGCAAGATCACGAGAAAGTTCCTCATTACCGTGCCCTGAGAATCGTGAAAGAGAACTTTCCATCGTGAAGAACCAATCTCACGTGATCCTCTCCTTTGTCTACAAACTGCTCTTTCATGAGCAACGCAACAGTTTCTCACCATAAGGCGTATACGTACTCATAGTAAATATTTGAAATATTTGCAGCGGTGCATTACATTGAATGTACAGTCCCAGATCAAAAGATAAATCCATGGCTTCCATAAACCAGGACGTTTTTTCGAGGAAAGGCGATAACGCGTTTTGCTGAGTCGTCCGGCAATACCGTTGACAGATAATGTTAAGTAGGGCCTATCACTTCAAGAGGGCACGTCTGTGGAACTCGCGGAAAGACGTGTCATTCCATGGCGATTGAATTATACTCGTACATTCGTGCTTCAGGAAGTATTTCCAGAATGTGATGAATATAAAGAAGAAAAGAATATGGCATGTGTCCAAAGGTACGTACGAATTCACACTTGAGCTGCAAGGTCTAATGCTCTTTGAACACATCTCCTTCCTGGAGCTGTCCGGCTTTACGCTTCAATGCTTAGAAGCGGGGGGGGGGGGGGGGATGAGCTAAACGTATTGCATGGTTGCCCAATGGCTAATTCCTGCTCCTGAATTGGCACATTCTGAATTGGATTTCTAAGCCCGAACATATGTTCAGTCTTCGAAAGAATTATCAAGCAATTTTTTCCCTTCAGACAACTCGACTAAATATAAACGCAACCACATAGTGCAAGCTAAAGTTAAACGAAACTTCTGAGGAGCAGGAAGTTCGGTAGTGCTACCTTAAAACACGGCACTGTGATTTATTATTCCGTTGTTTCACGTAGCAAGTCGCCAAATCCAGGCTCTCCAATGAAAATTGGGAAATCGGTAACATTTCTGTCTGGTGATAAGAAATCAGTTTTCACCCCGTCGACCTGGGTTGGTTTGGCTATCACAGGCTAACCCGATAGCAATCTCCCTGCGTCTTCCCTTCTTTTCTTTCTGTTCTCTCTGGGGCAATGAGACGGGAGCAAGTTTTCAACTTAACAGCGGCATGTAGAACGAGGAGTTACACGTCGGATTGTACCTTGGAGGCGTTCCAGTTAAATAATTAAACTGCTACAAGCATATCCTGTCTGTTAACGAATTGATATGAAAGTTCAATAAGGTCAAGTGCGATCAGTCAAGCAGTTCCAAAACCAAGAAAGAAGATTAATCTACCAAGAAAATCTTGACGCTTCGGACCCAATGAAATCTTTTGAATTACTTCCCTACTTGCTCCTCCCTTCCCTAGCATGAAAAGAAAACACCGATCCAAAGATTTCTTCCGAGACCAATAATATTATACTTGGAAAAAAATGTGGCAACCTGTAAGATGTATGGCACGTCATTTCTGAAAATCGGTTGATTGAATCACAAAATACAATCAACAGCACACAGGATGTCACGTCAGTAAGATGAACATGGCCAAGACCACTTGAGGCGGCGCGGCACGCCCACTGGAAAGGAAATTCTTCAAGGCCAGGTAACCTAAACTCCTTTTTGTATGCTGCCAGGCTTGCTAATTTCTTCCGCGTTCAGAGAAATATCATCTGTGCAATTTGGTAGCTTCATTTCAAGATAGAGCCTACGGCACAAGCGATTCCGCATCAGTGGGCGAACCGGGCCACCTGCAGAGTGATTTGCAAATGAATTCGTATGACCTTTAACGTGGGTTCCATTGCCCTGATGTTAATTCTATCACGGGAGATGTACCCTCACCTACTTGGATGCGCTATGGAAATAGCATCGCAAGATGCAAAAGATAACAATGATTTGCAAATCCCTGATGGTCTGGGTCGCGATGACCTGACATTCCACATTCCGGCCTTCGTTGACAGTAACTTTTGACTCAATCAACTAACTTTACTTTAAAGAAGTGGTCGGTGTCCTCAAGAAATATTGTATTAATAAGTTGGTCATGAGGATATCTCCTTCGGAAATATGTTCCCTTCGCTTTCGAACCACTCTGTAATTATCGGAAAGCAGGATACTATCGAAGTAAACATGGGTAGTGAAAGGCAGACTCGGGAAACTCGAATCTAACGTTACTGTAGGCCTACATGGTCCGATAGAGATGTTACTTTACTCTCATCAGGCGACTAGAACAATGAATGGCATAAATCAGAATATAGAATAGACGCGCAGAAGCGATATGTGAGATTTTCTCCTGGGTAAAGCACGTGCTTCTCCGAACAGCAGGTGTCTCTTGTCATGGTCAAGGTATGGGCCTAAACAGACTGACGCGTCACTCAATGGCCTTATCGTTTTCAGCAGAGGCAGAACCATTCAGGGGATATGAAACAACGCTTTTCATCGAAACGGCACGTAGAATGTAACTTCTTACCGGTTGGACCCCCGACACCGTAGAAAGACGATCGATCAACATTGCCGTCTTCTCGCACACGTACTTGCTCGATGTCGGTGAGCATGAAACACTTCGAAGGATCTTCGTCCATGCAGAGTTGAGCCGCTTTGGCACACTGAAAACAAACACCCCATGCTTGCTCCTCATTGATGTTGCTGAATGCTTCGATAACTGTCTTGAGCGAGGTGCTACCCGCGGAATCAAGCACACACCGAGGTATACCCAGGCCTCTGTCCGCTGCCATTCTCAATGGCTAACTGCGGCCTTCATGCTTGGCGCTACGGGAATCACTCCGAGGGGGAGCACGGTTGCCCGATTCACATCCTCTTCCATCACGGCATACCTTTCCGTATCTCTTTCCACAGTCCAGACCTGTAAATCTTGTAGAAAAGAGTGGACGTTATCCAAAAATGGCTCTATTGGTGAGCCAGATTCCTACCCAAGGTGTTCAGGTGTTCCTTTGCCTGTATCAGGCATGCTCCATTTTCATCGTCAGAAACCTGGACAGCAGAGAGACACTGCACTCTCTGAGTTAATAGAAGAATAGGAGCGTTTCTCGGCTATCCGCAAGATGTCACTTAATACAGAGAAGAGAGTTTGGCCCGAAGAGGCAGAAATTTTTAGCTACCGACAAACCTCAGATCCTGGAGGCTCTTTGGAGAGGGTTTGAACTCCCAACCGGAGAAAATATTTGCAGATAAAAGTAAAATTCTGAGGACCTTATTCTAGGGCTGTACTGATGGCGATCTTCGGCAAATGGAATGCTATCAATATTATCTCACACATACCAGCCGGTGCCAATTGTGGAAAGGACAATCCAACAAATAATCCAATATCTTGCACTATGTTGTCAACTTTTTCACACCAGTTCATGAGACTCGACACTGCCCCTCTGTACTGGTTTTCGCGTGGGAGGAAGTCGGAAGCACGTAAGAGTTTAATTGGAAAAGAAAAGAAAGGGTGACAGGATACCCAATTTGACGCAGTCTTCTGACAATGAATGATTGAATCCCGCACTTGTAAAATATCTACTCTGTGCCGAATGGGCACAAGAAATGTGTTATTTTCGCCAGAATTCCTGGAAGTAAAGAGTGGAAGGCCGGCAGGATGTCAGGTGCCAGCATTCGATACGACACAGCTGTTAACTGCTAGGAGAAATTCCTCCAACGGTTTGTGTAATCTACAAGTTTTAGTCACCTGGAAGAGACCAGAAATTACAGAGAAGGCAGTATTTGCCCTAACAGCAATAATCCCAGCCCAAGCCCCTTCTATTCTAAAAGCTTCCTCGTTGTAATTTTAAGGCACTTGCAGTGGAATGACGAAACGGTCTTCGGCTTTTACCTCGGAAGGTAGAGGCTAGCCCCTCCTGAAGCCGGCCTCCTCTACTAATGGTCCAGGCATTCTCAGCTATCTATTCCTTTCATATATCTCTTCTAATTTCCCCGATTCCCTTTTTGCCCATTCCCCTTTTTCACATGGGTGCATTTCCTAAATAGTAAAAAAAAAAACAGCTGCCAGGCTTTGTAGTCATGAAGCAAAACATTGACAGACTCAGCACATCTGGAAAAAATTCGTCATGAAACCTTTGCACATGAACCTCTGCAATTTCCCGTTGCCGCAACTTGTGAAATGGCTAAATTGGCCATTCAGAGAAGTAACAGTTCCAGAAGTCTGAGAAAGACAAGGAGGTTGTATTTGCGCCTCCTGTCTCTTTGTAAAACTCCCAGGTGGAACTCTACCAAATTATGTGACTCCCAATTACGGGAGACAAGATAGGTCTTGGGGAAACTCATCTTCTCCGATCATCAGTCTGCAGACAATACTCATTAGTTGCCACCCCAGGTTCATATTTTCTCATTCGGTTTCTTTTTTTAGACTAAAAGTGTCCCGAGTAAGCAGACATCGTAGCACAGGTGCAGAATCAGTGGTTGAATTTCCATATAAAAAAATTTTATTCGCATTCATTCCAGGAAGTCTTTTCGCCTTCACATAGAATTGGGTCTAACTCCCAGTTTTAAAGGTTTGATAGGTCATGCAGGCGTCCACGGCATGAATGATGCCCACGATAAATCCGAATATCTGAAATCAGGATTTACAAGAACATCGTTATTTCCATATTACTGTTTTAAACGAAGATTATGATTCGAAGTGAGCTCACGTATGCAGCAGTGAGAGCAGGATAGGTTTGGAAAAATGGAGTGACGATGTAGAGAGGCCAAAGGATAGTTTGCACTGTCACCAACAGATATGCTGAGGCTCCAATGTAAAGCGCACTTGCAACCCCATTGAAAAGTGGCTCCTGGGAAAGAAAATAGAGCTGATCAAAGTAATCAAAAGTACAAATGGAAACATGCATGCAGTGCTGATGGTGCTGATTAACACTATTCCTCTGTGATGTTGGGAAATGGTTTTGTAAATACTCGGATCGCCAAGTCCGAAACACGAAGGGCGAGCCTGACTATGAAAAAAAAAAGTGATTGGCTCACGAGCTGAAAACTGAGTCTTTGCGCTGATCGAAATTGTGGTCTGAGACAATGGTGAAGGACCACCAATAGAACAAGGACATGCCACTCCTTAGAGCATTACATATTACTAGCCTGCACCCTAAGCATGTAACGAACCCAGTAGTGACTAAGGAAAGATTGCTACAGTATGCTATGGTGAAGCACGACTGTGTTCCGCGATCAATTGCAGTAAATCCGAAGGAAAGTACCACGGAGGAAACTCATTCACATTTCTAGGTGTAAGGCACAGGTCATTCTGCACATTTAATTTAAACACTGACCAGTATTCCGTCATAGAGCATTTGATCCCTCAATCTAAATGACATGAAATATGATGGGCCAATGAGAATCATAGATCTATTCGCCTTGACTTCCTCAAATCATGAAGCTGTGAAATTTAGAATTAGAATCATATTTAAAAATTTTTCTCTAAAGCTTTCTGATTAGATTATATATGTTTGAATCAAAGTAATGAAATAAATTTATGAAAATAAATGCATGGCAGGAAGGCAAGAAAAAAGCATGATTAATTGAATGCACAGATTCCATAGGCCTAATCTGAGAAAGTGACGTGCTCGAAACAATTAAAAGCCGGTCAAAGGTGATATTAGCTTTACCTAGACTCCTAATGTCCTCTCCTAGCTAGTAATTTGTGCTCTCATTCACACAGTGATTATTCATATGAGCCGTAAGAAAGGCCCAAGGCTCTGACGTAGTTTGTACTTCTGTCCCATGACCTCTCTCCCCTTTGTCTGCAGTAATTGCTGGGGGAAAACATTAACTGTTAGGACAACTCTCCTTCAGTGAGATGCATCTTGATCCTGATAAATACAAGAAAGTTGATAGAAAGTCTGTAACGATACTATGGAGAAGATAACAGCGTAGGAACCGAACATTTCGGCCAAAATATTGCAAGAAACTAGGTCCTACCATTTATGAGAAAGAGGGAAGAAACAGACTTAAAAAAACGTGGTGCACGTTTAAACATCAATTACATTATTTTGAAAACTGCGAACTTGATGAGTTTAAATTTCACCATTTTCGTGTAGTTTTGTTTCCTTATCCTCTACATCAGCGGTGAGCAAACTTTTCAGGCCGCGCCCCCCTATCCCCCCTCCTTCCCCCCTCCATCGGTTCCGTTTCACCAGAAACCGACTGTGGGTCGGGTAAGTTGGCATGAGAAAGGAAACACGAATATTTTTTTTTTTTAGTATTACCTTAACTTCATTAAAAACACTGCTACTGAGAATAATGCAATACTACAAAACAAAGGTCAATTCAGAAAACAATTAATATTACAAAAAAATTAAAAACGTAAGTTTACCTGCAGTTGAATAAAACATACTTTCATCTCTGGACGAACTATAAGAGAATATAGAGAGGGGGATCGACCAATGTACCTTTCGATATCAAGAGAGTAAAAGAACAGTCCACTTTCATAGCACCTGATGAGATCGAGTCGAAGACTGACACAGAGGAGAAAAAAATATTCTCGGTCTTCCCTCCCTCTCCTGTCCCACTTCTTGTCTCCGATTCCAACATGTTTTCTTTTTCCTTCCCGTCTTTCATATAGTCAGTGCCAGCATTTCCAGAATTTGATTGTGATAAGAAATTACAAGCCCATGCGGGTCACGCTGCCTCTTCCTTTCCCCGCCCGGACGGATTGTATTGTGCTGTACTCGTCTCAATCCAATGGGACATTTCCCCTTCAAAAATTTTGCCAATACCTGTATATCGCGAAAGGCGGAAAACCTATCGATACCTCCAACTATCGATAGTGATATCGATGCATCGACCTATTGTGACAGCCCTACTTTATTGTTATTAGTAAAAGCATAGGCCTGCACACTTGTTCTTAATTATTTTTGTAGCTTCATACTTATTTAATACTTTAATAATTTATTAAGCGATTTGCCCGCAACATTGCAGGTAGGAATCAGGCATATTTTATTGAAATTAAATCCTCACATAACACGAAGTTTGACTGTTCTTATACTCAGAAACCTGATATTTAAATAATTTATATGAATATTTGGTAGGTTTTTCCAGAAATGTCCTAGATATGTAGTGCTTTTCTTCACTTTTCCCTTTTTATTTAATTTGTAACCATAAAACTCCCTAATTCCGAAAGAAAAGAAAAGGCCAAAGTTCGCGCCCCCCACAGTATCCTTCGCGCTCCCTCTCTCTCCCCCCAGTTTGCGCACCGCTGCTCAATCGTTTCAACAAAAATCTAAAAATTTTGTTTTTTTGTTGTTGTCCAAACTCGATTATTGGACGTCCAGGTTCCCATAAAGTAAACAGGAGAGCCTATGGGCAAATGGGAATCGCCTGTTTTCCCCCTAGCATGGGTTGAGAGGCAGTGAACCTTAATTGAATTGAAGTTGGGAGCGATAGCTGAGGGCCTGTAATGAGTTACAGATGTGTTCTCTCCCCTAAGAAACAGGCATGCTGCTGTTCGGAAAACCCCAGTTCTCTTTTAGGCTCGGTCTATGCAGGTGGCTTTGGAATTTGATGCAAGTCGCGGATGGAATGCCACTTTCAGTTTACGAGATTGACGAATCCATTGTCGGCAAACGGAAAGAAAGGCAGCGCATGATAGGGATAATACCTGAACTCGTAAATGCCATACCTGGTAATCTTAAACTTCCTACCCTTCTTCCATATCCCTGCCACTTACATCCCTGCCACATCCTTCTGTTCCCAACAGTCATCGAAAGAAGGCCTACTACCGGACTGAACTTGCTCAGCTTGTTTTTCACGAGATTGCCGTTG